AAAAAATACAGTTTTACCCAACAAACGTTATAGCTGACCATCAAGGCCGGTTTGTTATAGTCTCAGGCTCCCTCATTAATGTACCTGTTGTTCTTGTTAATCTCTATGCACCAAATTGGGACGATGAGGCATTTATTAAGAAAATAACCTCACGTTTACCAGACTTAACTTCCCACCACTTTATCTTAGGAGGCGACCTTAACTGTACTATAAATCCTTTGCTAGACAAATCCTCCCCACGACAGGATTCCCCTTCTAAAGTTGCTAAAGCAATTTCAATGTTTATGGATCAAGTAGGAGGTTTGGATCCATGGCGCTTTATCTATCCTGATAAAAAACAATTTTCTTTTTACTCTCAGGTCCACAAAACATTCTCAAGAATTGATTACTTTTACATTGATAATTATTTTCTTCCTGTCGTTGAGAACATAGAATATTCTACGATAGTGGTATCTGATCATGCTCCAGTGCTACTCGACCTTTCGTTTACACTTTTACAAAAAACACGCCCCCCATGGAGGCTGAATTGCACATTGCTTAATAATGAGGACTTTTGCCAAACAATATCCAAAGTAATCGATGATTTTCTTATCTCCAACAAGTCTGATCTCATATCCCCATCTCTACTGTGGGAGACATTAAAGGTGGTAGTCCGAGGAGAGATTATTTCTTATTCTTCACAATCCCCACCTGACAAAACAAACATGATGAGCTTTCTGGATAACCTAAATTTTCCACCCATTTCTGCTATCCAGAAGAGTGAAATGGATCGACCCTTAGAATCTCGTGAAATAGCAAACTCAATTAAACGAATGCAGAGTGGCAAGGCCCCTGGCCCTGATGGATACCCTATAGAGTTTTATAAAAAATTTGCTGACAAATTAACTCCTCTTCTCTTAGACATGTTCAATGACTCTCTGGACCGGGGAGCTCTGCCCCAAACTCTCACAGAGGGTTCAATAACCTTATTACTAAAGCCGGGTAAAGAAGATTCCGAGTGTAGCTCTTACAGTCCTATCTCCCATTTAAATGCTGATTATAAGATTCTAGCTAAGGCACTGGCCTTACGTCTTGAATCAGTCATGCCGAGCATAATCTCACCCGACCAAACCGGGTTTATGAAAAACAGACACTCTTTTTCCAACGTCCGCCGCCTCCTCGACCTTCTTTTCTCTCCCGCATCCGGGGAGACGCCAGAAGTGGTGATCTCCCTGGATGCAGAAAAGGCTTTTGATAGGGTGGAGTGGAGTTATTTATTAGAGGTCTTAAAGAGGTTTTGCATTGGGTCTAGGTATACATCTTGGATTTCACTCTTATACTCTTCCCACTAAAGCATCTGTAAGCACTAATGGGATGAAATCCCAATATTTCACACTTAACCGAGGAACCCGCCAAGGGTGCCCTCTGAGTCCACTGTTGTTTGCTGTGGCAATCGAACCTTTATCTATTGCACTTAAATCAGCCAGTTTTAATAAAGGAATCTACAGATGTGGTTTGGAACATACACTTTCCTTGTATGCAGACGATTTACTATTGTTTATTTCTGATCCAGTAACCACCATCCCCAAAATAACTGAATTGCTAAACCGTTTTGGAGCATCTTCCGGCTATAAGTTGAACTTCTCAAAAAGCGAATGTTTTCCTGTAAATAACTTAGCCCTCGGGATCCCTGATGTGTGTTTTCCATTTAAAGTGTCTAAAAGCAGCTTTAAATATTTAGGAGTGCATATTTGCCGCAAGATGTCAGATCTCTACAAGACCAATTTTCAACCCCTAATTGAAAAGCTTAAATCAGATCTGGAAAGATGGTGTAACTTGCACATAACTATAGCGGGAAGGGTAAACTGCATCAAAATGAACGTGCTTCCACGTTTTCTCTATCTTTTCCAATGCTTGCCGATCTTTTTACCCAATTCCTTTTTTCGTGCTATCAATAGGCTAATTTCATCTTTTATATGGAAAGGCAAGACTGCCAGAATAAGGAGAGAGCTTTTACAAAGGCATAAGTCGGTTGGTGGTTTGTCACTCCCTGATCTAAGACTCTACTATTGGGCAGCCAACATAAACAAAATGACTCTCTGGATTCGCGAACCTGAATTAATCTGGTGTAAACTAGAAGCTAAATCCTGTTCTACGTCACTTCTAGCTTTACTTACACAAATATTGCCCTTTCGACCATCCCAATATACATGTAACCCAATTGTCGTCTCCACCCTTAAAATTTGGCTCCAATTCAGACGTACTTTTGGACTCATAGGACTGTCCCATTACAGCCCCATACATAACAACCATCTCTTCCTCCCTCCTAGCATTGATAATGCCTTTTCTCTATGGCAGAGATCTGGCCTTGTTAGGCTAAGTGATCTATATATTAACAATGTCTTTGCTAGCTTCAACGAATTATGTGGAAAATTCAACCTCCCAAAATCTCATCTATTCCGATACTTCCAGATTCGTAACTTTGTTAAATCCAATACCAGCTATTTTCCTAATGCCCCACCTAACTCAGTAATTGACTTAATTTTGGACATTCCCACAAATCAGAAAGGCCTTATCTCCAAAATATACACCTTAATATCCCATCTCAAAGAGACATCTCTTGATAAAATCAAGAAAGACTGGGAACAAGAACTTGGTAGGGTTATTGATGACGGCGTCTGGGACTCAGCATTAACCCGTGTAAATAATAGTTCATCTTGCTCCTGGCTTAATCTCATACAATTTATGGTTGTCCATCGTATTTATTTTACCAATTCTAAACTTTCCAAAATTTATCCCGAGGTCGCAGACGTATGCAATAGGTGTCACATGTCACCAGCAAACATGACTCACATGTTCTGGTCCTGTCCCCTTCTGCAAGATTACTGGATGGCTGTTTTCAAACATCTTGGAGAAGCACTAAATGTGAAATTGACACCTTGTCCTGAATTGGCTATTTTTGGATTAATAGACCATAAAAAAATTAAGAAAAAGTTCAAGGATAGTATTGCTTTTGCTTCTCTATTAGCGCGGAGAATAATTTTGTTGGAATGGAAGGCACCAGGGGCCCCAAAAGCTTCACTGTGGCTTAAAGATCTCATGTTGCACATAGACCTGGAGAAAATTAAATATGATCTGAGGGGGGCACCTGGAAAATTTGATTCAGTTTGGGGCTGCATGATTAGCTACATAGCTAGAATGAAGACACTGCAGGACGGGTGAAGCGTCCACTTTTGAAACCTGACTTTTGATTGCTTTTTTCTTTTCCTCCAGGCTTCATCTCGGCCCATTGAAACATTTTTACTTCTCAGTTTTGTTTTGTGGTGTTTTCTGTTTATTTGTGTTATACTTGCTGCTCTCCCTTTTTTTTTATTTTTTATTCACATGTTCTTGTACGGTAAGAAGGAAGGATGTGGGTTATTACTGATTTATAGCATAATCTTGTAGGATTGGGGAGGGCTGGGGAAGGGAAGGGAATGAGGGGTTGTTGTTTTTGTAAAAATGGAAAAAAAAAAAATCCTTTCATTATTTTCATTGTTTGTACTTGACCTTGTCACATGAATAAAAACATTATAAAAAAAAATAAATAAATAAAAACCTTCTGTTAGTCTATAAATCACTGAATGGATCAGTACCTCAATACGTAACAGATTCATTGTCAGCGTATCAACCTCCCAAACCACTCAGCTGCCTTTGACTGTTGAAGTCAAACAGTTAACTGAGGTGGTCTTAGTTTAAGGTTGTCATCCAACTGTTCTACTTTCCTCTCTGGATGCTTTTATCATATTTCTTTTTTACTTGCTTTTATTCTGCTTTTTTGTGATCCAATCGTTTTATCTGGTTTACACGTTTTTTCTCCGTTATTCATGTCAAACACTTTGAATTGTCCATGCACTGAATTGTGCTATACAAATGAAATTGCCTTGCCTCGCCTTGTCTTGTGATGTACAAAATCTGTGGTATTGTGAGGTTGTTTTTTTTTCAAAAGCCCTGGTAATTTTTGTGATGAATTTGCATAATGTTTCACACAAGTTAAAAGATCAGGATGTGTTTCAAAGGGGTCATTATTCAAAATATAACATAATTACACTTAATCAGAAGCTAAATTGACTTTTTCCATCCATCCATCCATCCATCCATCCATCCATCCATCCATCCATCCATCCATCCATCCATCCATCCATCCATCCATCCATCCATCCATCCATCCATCCATCCATCCATCCATCCATCCAATCACCCTAATGGCTACTTACACTAATTAACATACCAAATAATTTTTTGGAGTGGGAGGAAGCCAGAGTACCTGGTGAGAATCCACAGAGGCATGGGGAGAAAATGCAAGCTTTGTTCCAATTACCCCAACTCAGGACCCTCATGCAGCACCATGTCATCTCCATTAAAAGATCAAATTTCTATCTAAACCTTGTTGGGTTTAGATATCACAACCCTCTGAAATACAAATGAGGTGCTGCACCAGAAACAAAGAAAGTCTGTAGAAAGTACCAACAAGACTGGAGACTACCAATAACTATGGAATCTGTAACTTTGGAAAAGGTGTATTGATTTCAATGTGGGATTTTTTTCTCTTTCTATAATAAGTGTATCCTAATCAAAGGTGTGAGAAGAAGTGAACACCTGAAAATGAGATCATCCTGTGAAAAACATGCTTATCAGTGACAGCAACAGGTATGACGCGATGCTCCCATATCAGTGACCAAACCAAAGGATTTACTCTGACTTTGACGACATCCCCAGCTGGGATTTCTGCGCCTATATTGACAAGCGACACTCCACCCCCTTTTTTTCGCCTTTTGTTTCCGAGGTGGAGCTTGATACCCCGACTTTAGCGAACCCGACTGCTGCCAAAGGAGACGAAGGAGAGAAAACAGGGAGCAGCAAACGTCAGCTGGGCTCTGGGACGAAGCGCATCGGAGAGGGAACCTCACCAGGGAAGAGATCTGGAGTGATTTCAGCTTGGAAATCAGTGAAGGGAAGATCTACACACACACACAAAAAAAATGAATTACTTTATACTCCTTTCGTTTTTTGCCACGGTTGTTATCGGGAAGTCACCCCGTCTGAAATTTATAGTGCACGGTAAGCCATTTATTTATATAATTTAGCTCAGCGAAATGTACAAGCTTGTTTGGTCACGTCGTGCTCATTAGATGTGACATGGTGTAAGGGAAAGGCAGATGAGTAGCCTAAATGAATCATCATCTAGTGCATCAATATTTAGTTGAAGCTTTACGGTTAATTCCAAACATTTAAGTGGTTGTTACTTTAGAAATAATACTTCAGCAATTTTGTCCGTAAACAAACTGGGAAAATTACGCAATTCCAAATTAAGGCCCCGCACTAATTACCAAATACCTTAATTGCATTCTCCGGAGAAAAACAATGATTTTTCCTAAACCAAACCAAATCCCTTGTGTTAAAAAAATACTCAAAGTGGATTGTGTGTCGTCTTGCAACCTTATAGTGTTTGCAGATTGCTACATATTAGAGCTTTTCATGCAACTTGTGGATTTTATGTTCTTCCCTTTTTAAACACTGAATGCTTTTTCTTAAAATCCACAATTGTTTCATTATTTATTTTTTTTGGTCAGTTTTTTAGGTCAAATGTGCTTTAATGTTCCTGGCTGTTACATCCTCCATGCGCACAGTGAGGAATTAGAAGAGGCGCTTAAAAAGCAACCTGCCAAACCGGGGGGGTTCATTGCGCCTGTTTAGCTCCAAAAAGGGTGTGTCTTTTTAAGAGCGGCTGGTCATTGCTGGAAAGCGTCATTACAGTGATATACGAGTCTTTGGAGGTTGACACCTTCATTGATGCTGCCGTGTCCTTGCGGAGCTGCAATGCGGGACCCGGCAGCTGCTTCACACTGCAGCAGAGGACCCAGTAAAAAAAAAGGCTGCTGCTGCTGCTGCTGCTGCACAGTTACAACAACAACAACGAAAATGTGAAGCGACATAGATACAGGGTCAGAAAGGGAACTGGAGAGCAATGAATGGAAAATTCCGCGCCTAGACCCTGTTATCCATTCCACTCACGCGCCTTTACGCAGCACACACACCTCTAATATATTCAACAATCAATAGTGATGTGAGTCAAGTTATCTGGATCTGTATCGCTCCCCTCCCTCTTGACAGAGAGGTAGGCCTACACAAGATGACGTCCCTGGACGTGCGTGTCATATCAATCTAAATAGTTATTATGCATTTGCAGACAGAGGGACAATATGAAATGCAGATTGAGAATATCAGTAGGAAGCCACGAAACCCTCAGTTTGGCCCAAGGGACTAATTTTGCATCTTTCAGCCAAAATCAGGACTCTAAGCATCTCCTCTTTGAGACACTGGATTAAGGTTGTGGATCCTGAGAGGTGGAAGACTTTACATCAGAGAAGATGCCAGAACATTTTTATAAGGGTGGCCAGGCAATAACCAATGTACACTGAGGGGTGGCCGAAAATGGATAAGCACCAGAACCTCAGGGTCAATCTACACTGTTCCAACAGGGAAATGAACAACAAAACATTCATATTTTCTAAATAAAGACAAACTATACTTTCCTACAGCCTTTGCTAACAGATAGACACATATGTTTAAACATCCATGCTTTTTAGATAAAAGGTAATGTGGATAAAGTTCTTTCAGGTTTGAGTTCTGGGCGAACATCTTTCCTATTGTCATTACCCACCTACTTTTATCAATAGTCAACCTGCATACATTTGATACTTACAAGTAGGGGTGGATATTGGCAAAGAAGTCATGATTCGATTCGAATCACGATTCACATGCCACGATGCGATTTTATCATGATGCATCACGATACTTGAAATATAGCGATGCCTCGCGATGCGTTGCGGTATTTTCACTGAACACTGTAAGAAAAAGATACAGCCATTACCAGTGGCTGACTGGCTGGTTATGATCTGGATAGTGTCTCTGTCATGATGGGTCTCTGTGTTAAAACCCACACGCAGAACACCACAGGAAACGGAGTAAAAGTTTAACAGTTTATTATTGAAAAGCACATAAGAATATTAATGAGCAGGTTCTGGTACTGGTCCGGGACTGGAATCACTGAGTAATCTGCAGAGATGAATAGTTTGGTTAGCCAGGCAGCGGTGAAGACTTGTCAGGGGTTTGTTTCTGGTTTGTACCTTGATGAGGTTCAGACTGATCGATGGAGAGAGGGAACCGGTTGGGTCCAGAGTCTGTGGATTCAGCAGAGAGCTCAGCAGCAGCAGCATCTAGCTTCAGGCTAATGAGGTTCAGACCTTGAGTTGATGTCCTAGTTCTCCCTTGAGAACTAGCTGGGGATTTCAGACTGATAGTCTTCAGGTTTGGCTTCCTTGGACAGGCAGGCAGGTTTCCAAGCAAAAGTTCCTCCAGAGCTACAGACTTCAGTCAGGCTTTCCTGTGAGCAGAGAAGACAGAGGCTGGTTAGAATCTGGTTACTCTCCAGAGCAGACAGAGATTCTAGATGCAGGCTGAGGATCAGGTTCTGCTAACCAAAACTGGTCAACACTCCGGCGAGGAAGACAGGTCTGGCTGCTGCTTATGTAGGAGGTCCCCTGATGGGCTGATGATCCTCAGGTGTGCTGGAGGCTCCAGCCCAGGAGACCCACAGCGCTCTCTGCTGGAGACAGGTGGCAGATCTCCAGATCCCAACAGTAACCCAAGTCCCAACAGAAAAACATACAACAGGAGGGGATCCTCGGCGCCCTCTGGAGGGCAAGCCTCTGGATCCCAACAGTCTCCAATTGATACATAACTGAAAGCAACCGAATTCATACATAGCTGTATTTATTGAAATGACTTTTGGAGGTGTTGCCATGAAAACAAATACTGGACACAAATATTACTATTACTGGTGTGGACACACTGACAAAAAGATCTTAGGATTCATAAAACTTAAAATAATAAAATAAGGATAATCAGTGCCGTTTACATGGCCTCAGTGGTCCTTTAAACCAATGAAATGAAAACATTCAAATGTATGACATTTCCCCTTTTGCATATTACGTGCGTCATATCAATTTCGTTTTTACCTTCTTTGTTTTTAAAGCATAAATCCATCCAAGCATCTGACTTGAAATGTGATGGAGCCGGGCGAATTTTCTCAGTGTCCTCCATGTTTTGTTTACGAATGACTCGTCACAGTATCCCGCGGCCGGAAATGCTTGTGACACAAAGCAGCGGGCGTCAACACATCCGCAGCGACATCTGCTGGACTGGAAGTTGTATTCCACTTGGTTTGGCTGATGTGCGCCAACCATTCATGTATTTTATTTGTTCATTTTTTAAAATTAAGAATCGATACTTGGCGTCAAGAATCGATGCAGTAGATCACAAAAATTAGAATCGCGATGCATCGTCACGACGATCATTTTGCACACCCCTACTTACAAGTACTAATATCTACATAAATTGAATATTAAATTAATTTTATTAAAATAGTTATTTATCTATGATTTCACTAAAGACTCATAGATGAATGCAGAGACACATAATTTTCTCTTTACCCCATAAAAATCTAAAACAAAATCACACTGACAAAATCTAGTAATGAAAAGAGCAGGAATTCTTTAGTTATCATCTTTAATGATAATATATTGACATGCCTAATTAACCACCACAGTGTTTTTGTTATCAAGTAATCATGAATATATGAAAAAATTGTAAGTTATATATGAAAAAATTGTAAGTAATATATGAAAAATTTAAATGTTTTGAATATTCCACTTGATTATTAGGGGGGAAACAATGGTAGGGGTGGCCAAGGGTGGCCCCCCATCTAGCTCCGCCCCTGCTTTACATTGCAGTAATTGTGGTCTAAGAACATTAAACCTTGAACTAAAGAGACATTTCAAAAAGCTTTAAGCAGATGTTTAAAGTAACAAAGTACAAATACTTCGCTACTGTACTTAAGTGCACTTTTTAGGTTTCTATACTTTACTCAGTTACTTATTTTTCTTCCTACTTCAGACTTCTACTCATTACATTTTCACACAAGTATCTGTACTTTCTATTCCTTACATTTTTAAAACAAACGTTACTCGTTACTCTTGGCTTCGCTTTAATGTTTATAAATGTTTATTTCACGTCATGTGCGCCATCTAATGCAGATCGTTGGTGTCATCCACATCTAGTGAAAGCCAGTGTAATTGGATGAGCCATATAACAGAAACACTCATTGGATAGCTGAAGGAAATAATCAGAAGCAAGCAGGTGTTCTTCAAACTGCAAACGTGAATTGTCTATGCCATGCTACAATGTCAGGTTCAGAAAAAGATGTTGAAATGTCTGAAAGGTCGGACACAGGCGAGAGCGTATCGGGAGATGGAGACCAACAAGACCCCCCTCATCATGTGTGTACTTTTGGAACCACTGGCTTTAAGAGAGGCATTTAATTATGAGAGTTAATCCCACTAGTGGCAGGTTTGCCTCAGATTAGATGGATTTAACCATATAATGCATTGCAAATTATGGAAGTCTCAATACAAATTTTTCATTTTCAATACAATATGGATATCGCAGCTTTTAAAATTGACTGATACCAATATTGACCTGATCCAATATCTGCATGAGTCACACATACATTTTTACTTATTTTACTGTGTGAAATGATAGAAAGAGCTTGATCAAGTGAGATTTCTAGAACAGAGAACAATACTTAACAGCACCATGAACACAATATTACCTGTTTCTTATTCACAAAACAGTAATGTAAATTTTAAACACGAGTGTCGAAAACATTCTAATGAGAGCTTGCCCAAAAGATTGGTTGAAATGTACCAATCTGGTTGGTAGTTATGTGTCCAATCAATCTTTTGGTTAAAACAACCAGTCTAATATGGTAGTGTTTTTTTGTTTTTATTTTAACCAACTATACTCGTAAAAGGGCAAACCAATACATATTAGTCACTTTGTTCAAATTGTTGGTTAACTTGTGTAACACAAATCAAGTCAAAGCCAGGTGTTGAACCAACAACCCTCCAGTTACAGGGCAAACTCCTGCATTCACCGCCTCTGTCAACCCTAATATTGCTTGGAACTGAATACTAGTATTTGGAATGAAATGATAATTC